ACATTCTGAGGTTAGGACTGCCACACAGAAAATTTGGGAAAACACAATTCAACCCATTGAAGACCTTTATAATTAATTTAATTATATGGCATTTTATAATATAGAAAATAAATTACATACGTCAAAAATATTTGCTTCATGTGGTTATAAACTACATAGCATGTCTAAAAAATCAAAGAAAGTGACTGCATTTATAAAAGAACAATTTGGGCCCCGCAATCAAACATTAGTCATATATATTTGTAGAATTATAGAGCACGTGCTATGTATACACAATAGTCTATGATTCATAAGCAAACTATAATAACACTCTTTCTTTGAAATAAAGAAGTTAATTAGTATCACTCTCTAAATTGGAATTTGTCTTTGAGCAGTTGTCCAGCCTTCGCTAGAGTCTGTGACAAGCACCCTTTTGGGTTAGAAGTTTGGCATTAATTACCTAAAACAACACCAGAGGACACATTTTCTGCAGAAGGAGCTCTATGTGCTAATGAAGCTCGGAGTTCACTGGGAATTGCTTTTAATGTTTCTCCTGCTTTCTCACTAATGAGATCTAAATTATAGGAATGATAGATGTTTTTCCCCTGACCCATTATTTAAAAGCCAGATCACATTTTAATTTCACATCAAATTGCCCATAAAATATTAAATAAGGTAAATGTAACACAATTATCTAACTTAGGAAATGTGCTAATTTTCTTTAATATATATACTCTCAACTGGGTCTTGTGAAGAATCTCTGCAAAATCCATCTTTTTCTATCTCTGAAATGGTGCTGTGTTTGTATGGCTAAGAAGAGGGCACTACAATTCAATAATTGTGGTCTCTTGGTGTGATAAGAAATAAACAAAAACCTACGTCCATACATCGATCTCATCATTCTTGTGGTTTTCCTAATTTTTTCCCCTGTGGACAAAAATAATGCTAATGCTCACCTTCAGGAAAAGGTTACTCTGCCACTTCTCTGGCCTTTAGTGATGAAGCCTGTGATGTGGAGTCCATATAATGGTCTCATTTCCTGGTATCTCTTGTCTTTTTCATGCTCCTCTTGCCAATACCCCATGTTTTGTTTGTTTTCCCCAAAGTGAGTGGATGCACGTTCTGCCTGATGTGCTCATTATTGCCAGCTAGGCCTCCTTCGACTGACAGCTGAGATGTAGCAAGCTGGCTTGGATTCATATGCTTAAGTAGCCATTGTACCACTGACCCTAGCCTGACAGGTGGAGCAAACGGGGTAGTACTGTGATCTGACTACCTGGAACCACAAATTTAGGTTTACTCGAATGAAATTGGTTTTGATTTGCAGTTGAAGAAGGTTCCAGAAATGTCAGCCATGCATTTCTTTCCTGTGGTCGTTAGCTACATTGTAATATTTCTAGGGAGAATTTTATTTAAGTCCAATCTTGTTGGATCAGAGTGGCAATTGTCAAAACCCAGGTTAAATAGTTTTTTTTCTACAAAAGTACATTCTTAATGGATATAACTATCTTGCCTAATAATAGACAAACATGTAAATTGACCGTTCCTTCGCTTAGCTCACCAGCCAATCAGGAGAGTATGCAAATTAACCCAACAAAGATGGCGGTTAATTTGCATACGTAGGTGTGAAGCGGCGGAGCGAAGACTGAAGGCTCTGGCCGGAGCAGCGAAGGCCTAGGTCCTGGGTGCCGGAGGAAAACCGGTGCTGGCATCCAGGGGAAGGGAAGGCCTATTGCACGAATCTCTTCATGCAATGGGCCTCTAGTATTAAATATTTGTCATGACTCAGCAGTTGATTTGACTTTTTTTAGAAGAAATGACGCATTAAACACATGGGCATATTTTCTCAAAACTACTCTTTCCTAACAGACAGTTCCCTTTCCTCACTCTGTCTAAGAATCAGTTGCATTTTTGAAACTGTTTTGGGAGGAAGGTAAGGACTTAAACTTAGATATACATGTGTGTAGAGTTGAGCAAGTCCACATCCTCTCATTTCCATATTTTGTACTTCTACCAAAAGGTATTGAGATCTATATACCAAATATGTAAGCTTCTCTTACATATTTATTGTGATCTGCTGAGCTGGTAACGTACATACTCTGGCTAATTTCTAAGGGAAAATAATCCACAGAGTTTTAGACCTCACTCCAGAGCCATTTTATGAGTACTTTTGGGGTAGAGCCTGGTAATAGCAGTTTTTATAAAAGCACCAGGTTTGGGAACCTCTGTCCTGGGCTGGCTGAGTGTCAATACCCATTTGGTACCATGAACTCCCTTTGACTTTTCCAAATAATCTATAGTGAAGTTGACAGAAAGCTCTGATAAAAACTCAATATTAATAGTAAGTTACTCATAAAATAATCTGCTGGAAGTTTTGCAGTGTAATTGACAATATAAGCTGTGTATTTTGTTCCATTTTTATATCTTTGAAGTTTGGTATGTCTTGCATTAAAACTACCTTTATACAAAATTTTTATTCCCTAAATTCCATACTTCAGCAAGTTTCTTTTCACCTTTTAAAAAATTCCTGATTTAAAAAATTGTTTAAAGTATAATGGACACCAAAAGAAAATTAAAACTAAGATGGAATGTGTAAAACTTAACTTTTGATGGCATCAAATTATTCTCTTTTGAATGGATAAGTAAGAGTTTAATTACTATTTAGAAAGCAAATCATGCATCTTATTACTTTCAGTTTATCATATACTAGAAATATATCACCTACTGTTAGAGCCAACAAACTGCACTTTAGCTGTCTGATTAAGCAGCCTCCATTGATTTGTGTGTTTTTAACAAGCCCAGTATTTTGTCTAAATGTCTCATATAATGGTTTAGTAAATTTACTTTATATCTTTCTCTATCCTTCAATACAGTGCTTGTTTTTAGAATTTATCTTTAGTTATCTATCTCCTAGGACTGGAACATCTTGCTTAAAAAATCAGGAATTGTTTTATATTTGTTTCTTAAATAAGACTCTGACTTTTGGCATTTCTAGGGGAAGAATTAATTATGTTCTAAAAAGGCTGGAAATAATCTGATACAGAAACTGGTGTTTATATGTGTGTGTGAGAATGTGTGAGTGTGTATTTCAAGGGCTTATTTCCATTAGAAAATGGATGTGGGAAATATGTATGTTAAAGTACCAAGTTTGGATCTGTTTACCTTTGACTTATTCTGAATTTCCCAAGGTTCACAGTTAGTTTAAATATACTTGTAGAGCATGGCTGAATGAAATGATAGGATAATACCTTTCTAAGCAACACAACATGATTCTATGCACTGACTCTGCTTTGGGATGCTGATTTCTTATTTTAGTGGGCGCAAATGTCCCTATTTACCTGTTGTATATCTCTATGAATTATTTTTTGGTCTTTATGTAAATCTTGCATGCTAGCCATTTTATTTGGAATTTATTTACTAGCTAAATACTAAGTACTACCCACTCTAATGACAAAATATTCAAGTGAACTCGGGGTAACGTTTGGAATTCAGCTCCCCTATCATGAATCTATGTTTTAATATTTTACCAGTGCACTTCAAGATTTTGCCAACAAAAATCCATTGTTGTTCAAAAGGCTGTAATTCTTGGTTATATAACTGAAGTGTCCACTCCCCTCTTTTTCAGTTTAGGGTACTTTAGTATCCTAGGTTAAACCCCAAAGTGTAAGTATGGCAGCCTAGCACTGCTAGCTACTAGGCATCCAGCAGGTTATTGGAGGAGGAATTTTTAAAGGATAATGGAAGGGAGTATGGAACATATAGATAGAGGTAGATTTCTATTCTTACTCATCAGCCAGAGGGAAGGGACAGTGACCCAGGGGTTATGAAGTTTCCATTCCTGCAAAGACTAACAATTGAGAGAGCAATGTGTCCTGGTCAGGCACAGCTCTGGGGCATGCTAAAAGGGCGTCTGTTGATGCTCTTTCTCTCAGCCCATTGGGCCCCATGGAATCTCTGAGAATTCTTTACAGTCAGGATTTAAAGTGGAAAAGCCTTGGGTCCTATTCCCCTCTTCATAGTACCATTAAGTCTTTCCTGGGTTTCTCACTTTTTCTCTTTTTAAAATTGTATCCCCTTTATTTTTCCACAATAATCCATAAGGAAATTCCTAATAACCCATTAGATTTAGAACCCAAGCAACAATAAAAAATTGGTTTATTCTCTCCTGGAGGGTAAGTAGGATGCAAGATTTAAAAAGACAATGCTGGATCTTGTAGGATATTTCATTGAGGATGGAATGAGAATAGCCACATTTGAGATTAGTCAGTTGGCTTGTTACCTTAACATCTACAATGACAACAACAGCTAAAAGGCAAAAAACAAGCTGGATTTCATAAAAAATAGAGGATGAATATTCTTCTCTCTGCAGAATTTAAATGAGGGATACACAGAGCAATGAAAAATTATCTGAATAACCATTGCAATACGAAAGAAATTACTAAAATAAGTACTAGTAAATTACAATAGTTAGACATAAAGTCCACTTACATTTATTGTGCATTCACTAGTGTTGTCGTTAACATCTATCTGCCTTTATTATCATTACTTAGTATACTAAAAAAAAAAAAGAACAAGTAAAAGGAGAGAAAAAGAGATAATCATTTCTACCCAATGGTACTTCTAGAAGATTCCTTTTTATCTCAGAAAATAGAGTGCAGATTTTCTTGATTTGTCCTCAGTGAGCCACCAACAATAAAACTGGAAGAGAGACAAATTACCTCTAAACACCCACAACCCGTTCTGGGTGGAGTATAAATGGTTAATCGTGACTCCCTTTAAACACAAATTTTTATCTGACTCTTGGATGTGATTTAAGATACTAATGCGTTATATAGTCTTATTCTGTCTACATGATTGGACTACACAGAAAAAGTGAAAATAAGAAGGGGGAACGAGATATATTCTTGACCTGTATCCTGAGGTGAATAAAATCGCACTTTAATACTACATGTTTTATGCAGCTTCTCAAATCTCAAACCATAGCCACAATAGTAATAGTTGACTCTGTATGTTCTCATTAGAATTCTACCAAATATCTGGCTGGGTAGCTGCCCTCGCCAAGTGGAACACGTAACCATCAAACTGAAGCATGAATTGGGGATTACAGCTGTAATGAATTTCCAGACTGAATGGGATATTGTACAGAATTCCTCAGGCTGTAATCGCTACCCAGAACCCATGACTCCAGACACTATGATTAAGCTATACAAGGAAGAAGGCTTGGTCTACATCTGGATGCCAACTCCAGATATGAGCACTGAAGGTAAGCATCAGAATCATGTTGGCTTCTTGTGAAATGTGTTTCAGAGAAGCCCTTGCCTGTCTATCTATTATCTATCTATCTATCTATCTATCTATCTATCTATCTATCTATCTATCATCTATCCATCTGCCAGCCTACCTTTCTGTCTATAATTGATTGACCTAAATACGAATAATAGAAATGGAATAAAGTAAAGGGTTTAGGTTTAACATTTAATATGTATTTTTTAATAACTTGGTTGATATTCTGTTTAGCATGGGTCTTTGATTTGTTAATTCATTAAACATGTATTTATTGCATATCTACTGTGTATGTGGTACTGGTGACTGAGAATACAACAGCAAAGAGAGGCAGGACAACTCCTGCCCTCATAGGGCTTATAATCCTATTAAATGACTACAAATAGAAATTAAAACGGATGTGTTTTTTGTTGTTGTTGTTGTTAGGAAGATACATGGATATAGCTATGAGAGTATGCACAGACAGTCAGACTCGGGAAGGGCAGTCAGGGAAGGATCCGGGGAAGCAGTGTTTGAACTAAGATCTGAAGATAGGGCTGGGGTCAGCGGTGAGGCTCCCAGGCACAGGGAGCAGCTGTCGAAGAATCCCTGTTGCAGAAGAGCATAGAGGGTTGTAGGAACTGAAAATAGGCTCGTGGGCTGCAGATCAGAGGGTGAGGGAAGTGAGTCTTGTGGGATTTGGGCATAATAAGGACTTCAGACTTTTACCTAAAGTGGTGAGAAGCAGTGCAAAGAACTGGCTGGGAGTTGCCCAACTAATCATTTTCTTTTCCTCTAGAAGTGCACTTTGATTGCAAAGTAGAGAATGGATTGGGTGGGCCCAGAGTGAATCTGGGACACCAGTTAGGCGGTAACTGCAACATTAAAGTGAGAGAGAATGAGAAGGATAAAGTTCAGGGAAGGCTTGTGATCATGAGGCTGCATTTATTGCGCAAGTACTGGCTGAGCCTGTCCTTGTGAAGAGACAGTTATGATGTGACATGGGTGCTGCTGGGGAAACAGACATAGTTTTGATGTAATGGTAAGGAGCAAGAAGACATGTTCAAGACTACAGAACAGAAGGAATGTGATGAGAGGCATGAGTGATGTGCTCCAGGAGAGTTATGGTGTGAAGAACAGGCAGGCAGGTGACATGAGTGACTTGTCATTTCAGGTGGAAGAAAGCATAGGCCAAAGTACAGAGGTATGGGATTTTAGAGGAATGGTGGGAGAAGAGGGTTCTTGTAGAAAAGGAATGGAGCTATTTGAAGCCAAGAGAACCGAGTTACACTAGTAATATGAACTAGATGTCAGCAGGGGGCAGCAGAGGGCTGTGAAAATGGCACAGGCTAAGGGAGTTTGGTCAACACTATTCTGGGGAAAGAAGAAAGATCCTGATGCCTAGGGAGGAAACGTTTCTATTATCAGTCCTCTTCCCCCCAAAGTCCATATGTATCAAACACTCTTCTAAGCAATTGCATGCATTAACTCATTTAATTCTCATAACCAGAGTTGGGACAATTAGTTATCTCCATTTTGCAGAGGAGAAGACTGAGGTACAAAAAACTTAAGTAACCCGGCCAAGGTAAAGAACAGAGACACAGCTGGATTTCAGAATGGTCTGACTCAGAACATTGCTCCAGACACCATACATGCCCACATGAACTCTTCCCACACATTCTGCAGACTGCCACACTTTCAATCTGTCATTTGCATCTTTAGGTGGAATTAGGCAGAGTCATGAGTTGCCAGGAAAGTAGCTAAATCTTCCCAGAGTCAAGCAAGATGTGGGTGGGGACAGAAGACCTTGAGAGTCGGGTTTCCTGGCATGTGGCCACATTGGCTCTTTATGAATCTCAGGTGGTCCTGCTGGCTGAGCTGGATCCCTTTGTGGGTCTTTGTGTGAACTGAGCTATCTCTGGGGATGAGGTATAATTTTTGTTCCTTAAGGAGGGGATAGTTTGGTTACTGCTCTTGGTAACACTGATCCAAAGAAGCTTAAGTTAGCCACATAAGCTTTGTATTTTTTCCAAGGGAGGAAAAAACCCCTCATTTGCACAGAAGAGCACTGGTTGAATCTAGGTCATATTTGTCCTGTCCAGCTTGTTTCTCCGGTTTCAAAACAGAAGAAATTGTTAGAGTGCCAATAGCTTCCAGAGAGCGTTTGTATTTTCGCTTCTTTGACTCTGGTTTTATAGCATTGTTATCCCATTGGGATATTATGTGTGATGAGGCTCAGAGAAGTTGAAATAAGTTTCAACTTAGTCCCAAGTCCTTACGTTTGTACCAAAGGATGTTATAGATAATACGAACCTTATCTATATTACATTGCAAAGGTGGAAAAGAAGGTAAACTAGATGATATACACGAATCCCATTGGCTCTTTATGAAGCCATCCCATGCTCTGATTACCTGAAGTCCCTGCTGACGGATCGGGGATTTGCATGCTCTTCCCTAAGATCAACTGTATTTGTATTTAAACCTTTTGGGGGTCTGCCTTTGTGAAGAGAGAATTGTGATGTGACACGGGTGCTGCTGGGAAACAGAGACAGATAAGATCATCCCCCTGTGACTGGGGGTCCCAGTCACAGCCGTGGAGCACCTTCCACACGGACTACACGAAGTGACAGCAAATGAAAGCTCCCCCTTGAAAAAGGCTAAACCCCAAGGCTACATAGAGTTCTTTTTTTTTTGGTTCAGCATAACCTGGGGAATCATGGAAGGGTTAATGACCATTTTGGAGTCCCTGAGGAATTTTTGACCAAAAGTTCCATGTCCGTGGCTCAAAGTATTAGCACAGTAAACATATAGATTAATTCTGCTGAATATTTCTAGAACTTCAGAGAAAAATCTATCTGAAAACGTTTTGAGCCACATACTGGTCATGCTGTCAGCGAACGCCTGAGAAAGAAGACAGTTTGTTAGGACTGACCTGTTCCAATCAATTGTGCCATCGATCCTTATCTTGTACATTTTGTCATATACAAATGAATTGGTTAGGTTTGCTCTCTCTCTCTCTTTTTTTTAAAATAATTTGATTTGTGTTTTTCACCTAAAAAAACAGAAAGCTCCCAAATCTAGTGTCCACCAAGAAAAAACAAGTGTGCTCTTAAGATTCAGTTTTCCTTCACAGGAAAACTGCTTGTGTTCTGCCCTCTGTCAGGGCAGTGCTTGGATAACAAATGGTCTGCCTGGCCTCCCACACGAGTTAGTGTGCTGCCGAGTCCTCGCTACCCGTTGTCACAGTCTGAGTTCTGGCCTCTGACTCAACACATGGCATTCAGCTCTGCCATGAGGCAACGACCCTGACCTTGGAGCCACAGGCCCTGGCTCGAGCCTCGTCACCCTGCATGGCTGTGTGATATGGGGCAGACTAGTTCCTGCATTTGGAAAGTGGGGATGATAATTTCTACTTTACAGGATTATAACAGTAGAATAAGTTGATGGAGATGAATGTGCTTTGAAAAGTCACCAGGTTGGGGTGTATTAGTCCCAAGTCCTTAAGTTTGTACCAAAGGATGTTATAGACAATATGATTCTTATCTATATTACATTGCAAAGGTGGAAAAGAAGATATACTAAAATAATAACAGTAATATATTCAGCCATCAGTCTGCCCCTGTATTGAGAAAGGAAAGATTGTGTGTGTGTGCATGTGTTGGAAAGGCTGAAAGTTTGTGCCAGGAGTGATTATTTCAGGGCCAGCCTTAGGTAAACCTTGGATATCATTAGGGCCCCCCACTTATTTCAGGCCCTAATGCCTCAGTCTTCCCCAACATACCCTTGTCCCCCTTCTCACCACCTTTGCTTGTCATTGCATGATTTCGGGAAGCTTTTGGTCATTTCAGAGTTGGATTAGCCTGGAAGAGGTGCGGCCTGAAGTTAGATTAGAGTGTCAGATCAAGTTGGTGTTACTGGGTTTTGTTTTATTTTGTTTTAATTCATGTACTTACCTAAGACCTTTTGAGCATCTACTGAGAGCCAAGGCCTACTGTGAGTTCCAAAAGAATGTTTCACCTTAGTTGCCAACATTTAAAATGTTGACTATTTTACATTTTAAAAATCTGCATTTCTGTCTTGCCTTTAGGTATAATTGTTTTGGGGAATGAAAACTTTTTACCAAATTAAATTCTACATGGAGCCAAAATACACAAAACATAAAAATCAGGGCTCTGGTTGACATTGGGTTTGTTACGTGAGCTTTTATTCCTCGATGGGTTACATTTTAGCTAAGGCTCCCTAGAATGGTCTTCAAGAAGAGCAATGTGGGTGCATTGGGCAGAGCTGGCCCCTCTAGGATTGGTAGCAGAGGTACTCAACCCCAGGCCAGATGTGGTTCTCACTCAGGGGTGTAGGCAGAGCATGACCAGGCGGGTGGGTTGCAGGGGCAGACTGGGAGTTTGATAGATTGACAGCATGGGGGCCAGCAGGAGCTGTTAGATGGCAGCTCTTTCTACCTTTCTCCCGCCATGTGCTGTTCTAAGCACTGAGCAGGCAGTAGCTCCTTTACAACCACCTCTTAGCAACAATGAGCTTGGGACTATTATTATCCTGTTATATCTGAAAAAACTGAGGCACAAAGGTTTTCAAAAGATCATTCTGTCATGGCCACTCAAACCCAGCCAGCCAGATGCCAAAGCCTCTGATCTTAAGCTACTGTCCTTCCCTCATCTGCCTCTGGGAGAGTGCCGTAAACAACTGACTGCATGGCAGGCCCACCCAGGTCTAACCTCAGAGCAGAGCACAGAGCTGTACATCAATCAAAGCTATGGCTCAGTTTGGACTCTGAGAAATCCCAAGACATGTAGGAGCTGGCGTGCCTCCAATTTAGATGCCCTCAGGGACCAGGTAGCCACCACAAAGAGAGACGGGGACCCCCGGAATTGCAGAGTATACCCTGCCTAAAGGAATTCCAGGTAAAACATCTCCAAACTGCTCTTTAGATCCCCATAGTAAGAGGGATTAGCAGAGTACCAGCAGCAAAATTAGATATTGTCCTGGTTTCATGTATATTTTCTGCTCCTGTCTCCCAGCTGGAAGCTAAGGTAGGCCCCCTGGATAGAGTGGTAACTGAGGGGGCCTTCAGGCCATGACCAGGTCTTTGGTAATGTCTGCCCTTCTCAGGTGCTGATGCCTGACTACAGTGTGTTGTGTTGGACTTTCAAGACTTGCATTATAAGGGTGTAGCTAAGGAGGGAAGTCTGAGTGGCTCTCCTGGGAGACTTCTGGGCCCCGGTGAAATCTGCAGGAAAATCATTTCCCACCTCTCCGGTCCTCCAGTGGGCTGGCAGTGTGAGACTGTGGCTCTCAGAGGACACCACACATTGTGTCTCTGTGGTTGAGGACAGAGAGTAACTGGAGAGGTCAAATCATAGATATGAAGTTGTATTTCCATGGACTCTGTATTTCCCTCTTTCATCCATTTTTGAAGTAATTTCCACTGACCTTCTTCCACCCGTCCCCCAAATTCACGAAATATCTTTCACTGAGAACCTGTAAGCAGAAGAAACTGCAGCATCCAGGAATGTGGTGATTTTAGGGGGATCTCTTACAACAGGCCTCGGCAGAGCATACATACCCTCTCTCCATGGCAAAGAAGACATCTAAATCATCTTGTAATCGAAAAGGTAGTCACGAAGCTGCAATAACTATAATCATAATTGCCCAGGAAAGGAAAAACTGAATTAGTTTTAATGCACACTGCACCATGAGAGAATAAATGAACAATTTATCCAATATCCCATGTGTATCAATTAATAAGTTAGTCATTTCATTGGACAAATGGAAACTAGCACATGTTGAATGAGTAAGGTTGACTTCTTTAATCGGGATGGACTAATTCTGTTTTACATTTACCTGGAAGATCCTTTTGGATGAAAGGAAATTGAGGTGACAGGACCTGTCAGGTCCTCTTTGAAATCCTCTAAACCTCTGCTGGATCTATGCTAACAGAAGATGTAAAAACTGCTCTTCTGACCACAGGCAACGGTGAACCTTTCTTTAGGGGAAATAGGTGCGGACGCAGAAGTCTCTCAAAGGGGCAGCCAAATCAAGTGACAGAGCTGCCCATTGCCTCTGCAGGGCCCCCCCATTCCATTATTAGCAGGATTTGATAGTGTCTCACCTTTTCCTTCAAAGAAAGGAATGAAGCAGGCTGTGTTACCCCTGCCTCATCGGACAGGGCGCTGTGACTTCACGGGGTGCGGAGGAGTTATTGACGGCGCTGTTGGGGTTTCATTATTTACATGTCTGTGCTGTGCTTTCTCCACCCCAGGCCGGGTACAGATGCTGCCCCAGGCGGTCTGTCTCCTGCACGCGCTGCTGGAGAATGGACACACCGTGTACGTTCACTGCAACGCGGGGGTCGGCCGGTCCACGGTGGCCGTGTGCGGCTGGCTCCACTACGTGTTGGGCTGGAAGCTGAGGAAGGTGCAGTACTTCCTTGTGGCCAAAAGGCCAGCGGTCTACATTGATGAAGACGCATTGGCCCGGGCACAAGAAGATTTTTTTCAGAAATTTGGGAAGGTGCGTTCTTCCATATGCAGTGTGTAGGTGGCCCATCTTCCCCCCCCCCCTTCCCGATTTCCTTTGGAAGCTGGGGTGACAGTAGTACAATGACCTAGGAACAAAGATTCCACCTGAAGAGACAGATCGCTGGCTTCTCCCCCAACCCACCTCCTTTAGTCTGGGGCTGACTTTCTGTTACGCTTTGGTTGAGCTGTATCGCCTTTGAAATATTTTACAAAGGAAGCTGTGACTGACACATGAGAAAAGCTACAAGCGGCTGGACTGTGCAGTGTTGTTCTAGCGTCAGATAGAAAGGGAAGGCGTGCAGTTCCTGCTGCCGGCAAGCGGACCAGCCCTTTGCGTGATAGACACTGCATCTGTTGTATTATGAAGTCATGACGACACTTGCTGCCTTGTAATGTGGCATTCAGACGAAAGATATGATGTTATGTAGATTTCATCACTTGTTGTATTATGAAGTCATGACGACACTTGCTGCCTTGTAACGTGGCATTCAGACGAAAGATAGGATGTTATGTAGATTTCATCACTTGTATGTGTATGTGCACACACACACACACACACACTTTCATACTGAGATTATAAAATGAGAGCTGGTGAATTGCCAAAGAAGGATATAAGGGTAGAAGCCTGGACTGTGACAAAGTAAGAGCTCACTGTGACCAAAATTGATGGCTTTCTAGACGTTGTTTTGCATCCTGCTTCAAAGTCTGTTCTGTTCCAGGGCATCACCTTCCTTATCTACCCACAACCCTGGGTAATACTCAAAGTAGAGTTATAATGTCTCTATTTGATCGAGGCTCAATGAACATAGATAGCTTGCCCAAGGTTTTCTGGCTATTCAGGGATGAACGGGAGTGTATTCGACTCAGTGCTTTTTCAACACAACTTGTTTTGCCAGCAATCTGTAGTGAATTCAGCGTCTCTATCTCAGAGTAAGGTTGATTTTCTGCAGCAGTTTCTACCATGAGAAATGGGACAGCATTCTGATCAGTTGCCAAAGAATTTAGGAGAGTACTTACTTTTTGAACAACCTATTTTAAAACATGGTGGGCTGTCTCAAGGCCAAAGTGGCCTGAGCTGTAGCTCACAAGAGGAACTATACAGGGTGGGGCAAACCTAGTACATGAAACAGTTTATTCTTATGTTATTACTTATTAATTATTGTATTATTTTCCATATGAACAACTGTAAGCCTACTTTTGCCCCACCCTGTATTATCA